AGTACAGTGTACCAGGCCTTCTTAGTATCCAAATGGAGGGTGTTAGAAAGCACCCCTTCCAGGGATTCCATCATTCTACTGGGAGATTTCAATGCCCACGTGGGAAACGACAGTGACACCTGGAGGGGCGTGATCAGGAGGAAGGGACCCCCAGCTCTGAACCCGAGTGGTGTCTCGTTATTGGACTTCTGTGCTAGTCATGGATTGTCCATAATGAACACCATGTTCAGGGATAAGGACGTCCATCGTTGCACCTGGCACCAGGACATAGGCTGAAGGTCGATGATTGACTTTGTAGTGGTATCTTCTGATCTTTCAGCCGCATGTCCTGGACACTCGGGTGAAGAGAGGGGTGGAGCTGTCCACCGACCATCCCCCTGGTGGTGAGTTGGATATGCTGGAAGAGGAGGAAGCCTGAAACACTAGGCAGTCCCAAACGAGTAGTGAGGGTCTGCAGGGAACGTCTGGTGGAACCCTCGGTCAGGCACGTGTTCAACTCCCACCTCCGGGAGAGCTTCTCTCAGGTTCCGAGGGAGGTTGGAGACATGGAGTCCGATTGGGCTATGATCTCTGCCTATATTGTCAATGCGGCTGGCCGTACCTGTGGCCGTAAGGTTTGCGGTGCCTGTCGTGGAGGCACTTCCCGAACCCAGTGGTGGACACCGATAGTAAGGGATGCTGTCAAGCTGAAGAAGGAGTCCTTTGAAGCTTGGCTGGCTTGTGGGACTCCTGAAGCAGCAAGCAGGTATTGTGAGGCCAAGAGTGTTGCGGCCCTGGCGGTTGCAGAGGCGATATCTCTGGCCTGGAAGGAGTTCGGAGAGGCCATGGAAAAAGACTATCAGTCAGCCTCAAAGCGATTCTGGCAAACCGTCCGGCGACTCCGGAGGGGAAAGCAGTGCTTCGCTAACACTGTTTTCAGTGGGAGTGGGGAGCTGCTGACCTTGAAGAAGGATATTGTCGGATGGTGGAAGGAATACTTTGAGGATCTCCTCAACCCGACGGACACGTCTTCCGTGGGGGAAGAAGAGACAGGGTGCTTGGGGCAGGATTTGCTCATCAAATAGTTGGTGTGTTCCAACTATCGGGGAATCACACTTCTCAGCCTCCCCGTAAAAGGCCTATGCCAAGGTGCTGGAGAGGAGAGTCCAGCTGATTGTCGAATCTTGGCTGCAGGAGGAGCAGTGTGGTTTTTGTCCTGGCCGTGGAACAGTGGACCAGCTCTACACCCTCTGCAGGGTTCTTGAGGGTTCAAGGGAGTTTTCCCAAACAGTTCACATGTGTTTTGTGGACTTGGAGAAGGCATTCGACCGTGTTTCCCTCGTGCTGCCCTGTGGGGGGTGTTCCAGGAGTATGGAGTCGGGTGACGTAGTTCTGCTGGCTCCCTCCTGCCAAGACCTACAGCATGCGCTGGGGTGGTTTGCAGCCGAGTGTGAAGCAGGCGGGATGAGAATCAGCTCTTCCAAGTCCTAAGCCATGGTTCTCGACCGGAAAAAGGTGGCTTGTCCCCTTCAGGTTGGAGGAGAGTCCCTGCCTCAAGTGGAGAAGTTCAAGTATCTTGGGGTCCTGTTCAGGAGTGAGGGAAGAATGGAGCAGGAGATCGATAGACGGATCGGTGCGGTGCAATAATGCAGACGCTGCTCCGGTCTGTTGTGGTGAAGAGAGAGCTGAGCGAAAAGGCAAAGCTCTCAATTTACCGGTCGGTCTACGTTCCTACCCTCAACTATGGTCATGAAATTTGGATCATGACCGAAAGAAAGAGATCCCTGATACAAGCAGCTGAAATGAGCTT